CCTTGTTTTTGATTCTTAATATTAGAATAACTTTCGCAGAACCCGATTAAATGAGCTCAACTGAGGATGTGGTTGAGATATTGCCTCTTACCACACACCGACATCCACTCCTCAAAACGACACTGAGGCTGACCTTCAAAAGCTGGAAAAGCATTACTTATGGAGTGAATTTTTGTTACTTGTAATTCTAATATTTTTACTGATATAAATACAAAAATTATTGATCAAAAAACAAATATCTACTGATTAAAACTAATATACTTACTAATCATAATTACTGACATTTGACATTATTTACTGCTCACAAACCATATATTTACTCATCGAAAAATATTGATCATTTAAATCGGTCTCTAAGTTTATTACACAATATTTTCAAAAATCTATTCTGATTAAATCATTCGCTTTAATGCATATGTAACATTTAAATCAATGTTGTTAATTTTTCAAATCATCAGTCGTAATTATCATTTGAATAAATATTTCATAATCAAATCTCATTTCATTCAATGTTTCAAATTTAATTCAACGTTGATTGTATTTATCAGTATATATAGATAACAAATAGAGCTTTGAAGAATGTGTAGTTATACACCTTTTGTTTATAATTAAGAAATTCAATGTTATAATGTTTATTACAGATGCAAAAGCAGGAATAAAAAGAACATGTTACATAGATCAATCATAAAAAATTATCTTTACTTTTGCGAATTGTTGATTAAAAAGTCAGCTTGTTCTTCGACACTATCAAAAAGACTTGGTCGATGTGGTTTCCATCCTAGTTTTCTGACTCTCTCAGCTTTTGAATTCGATTCACTGCCTACTACATACCAACTATCTTTTCCCCATAGACTACTTTCTACTTCATCTTCAGGAAAATTTGTAACTTCTGGTGATGTAACAAGCTTTTTTTTGTATAGAACTTCACCAATTTTTTCTGACAATTGTCGCCAAGTATGTTGTCCATTCTCAGCAAAATAATAACCTTCTCGTCCTGTTGTTAAATATGGACTAGGTTGTGCATTTGGTTTAGCATCAGGACCATATGCAGCAACTAGTTGATCCAAAATAATAATATAAGCATCAACTAAATCACCAATATGAACATTATTCCATGTTGGTTCACCTGCCCCAATAGTTTCAGCTTTATGTCGTTTAATAGCAGCTCGAACAAGGAGTGGAAGTTGAACAGAATCACGATTAAATGGACCAGTACCAATACCATAAATAGTTGGAGGAAGAACAATAGCAGTTTTTAATAGAGGATTTGCATCGGCAGCATTAATTATGAAAAGGTCGACATTACGATGTAGTTGTTTATCAGGTAGACCATTAATTTGGTCAGGATTAAGATCAGAAAAGACTGTACCTGATCCTTTCTTACCACGAACATCTTCAGCAACAACACCTGTTCCACTTGTATGAATATAAATTGTAGGTTTTCCTGTTTGTTTAGTTCGTTTATTTAAACCAGAAATAATAGCTTTAGTTGATGGAAGATCATCAGATGAATTTGCAGTGTGAATCGTAACATGTGATTCACTTGCAGCTTTTTCAATAATATCAAATGAATCATTTGAACCAATGAGTGGTGTTACATGGAGTGATGCTAGTTTCTTAACTCTTTCATCATCACCCCCACGAATAAGTGCAGTGATATTAAAGTTTGAAGCATTTGGATGTTGAAGTAATGAAGTTAAAATACTTCCACCGATATAACCCGTAGCACCAGTTAAAAATATGTTAATTTTAGTTGATGACATTGTGTTTTATTATACTAATAGGAACGATATATTGTAAGATACAGATCGAAAACTTGCATATATATATATATATGTATGAGAATGACGTTGCAAAACTAGAGAAAGAAAGAAAAAGTTACAATGAAAACGATGACGCAGCAGAGTTAGAAAGAAAAGTAAATGAAATGTATCGATCATGATGACGCACAATACAGAATGATATGTACACGTTTCACCTTTCCCTCGATTTTTGGACTTAGAGTCCAAAGGAGAAGCTATTTCAAGACGATATTGAAAATTATAGAAAGACACTCATTAAAATCTGTAAAATATCATCCATAATCATTATTTTCATTGTATGTCTATACCAATCTTTTATATCTATATATCTTTTTCGTTTATTTGTATAATATTGATTGATATTTTCAATTTAGGTTGTTTTTTCATTTATATTTGTAAAGAAAGATGAATCGAATAGTTCGAAATATGTACAATAAATGTCTGAGAATATTTAGTTATGATTGTTTTTCAAAATTATAAGAATTTTTGTAAATATAATGAAACTTTTTAAAAAGTATTTATTACTAAAAGATTTTCACTCGATATAGTTAGTCTAACTATTAGTACGAAAGATAAATAAAATCTTTTGTTATGATACAATCAAACTATTGTTGTTGTAGAAAGTCATAACTAGAAATCAAGAACAATATATAAGTAATTTCAAATGTATTTGAAGATGTCAGTGAGAAATAAAGCTAATAATGATATTTGTAAAATCTATATATTATTGTATGAATACCTTTGTAATTTATTTGCTAGTGGATATATGTAACCTATTGGATACTCATAGTTTGAAGAAAAGAAAGTAAGAATCATGGTTTGTATAAATACATATCATATATTGTATATAAAAAGAATAGTAATATATGATTTGTCTAGATTAGTCAAAATAATATTTGTTTTTGTTTCAAACGTTTGGAAATTATTTCTCCAGAAGTTTATTACATATCTACTAATGAACTTTACATCAGTAGTAAAAACTAGAATGTCGAATATCATTCAAGTTGTAAACGTGTTTGTATAATAAAAGATTGTAATAATGTTTAATACTCGATTATTTTAAATAGAAGTTCATAAAACGATGAATATAGTTCTTTTACACTCAAAGTTGTTATTATAAGCATATGTTATATATAATATCGATTTTTCTAAATAATTCTCAAGTTTTGATACTTCAACAAAAACATGTAGATCAACGATCTTCCCTTCGTTTTCAGTCATGAAGTCATATTTTTTTAAGCATATACACATATACAAATAAAGTAAAATAATTCTAAGAGAAATAACTTAATTAGCTGATGATTTATCAAAAGATGAATGCAAGATCAACAATATATTAAAAGGGTATTGTGTGGAAATTGTTCGACACTTTCTTCATTCTACGAAATGAACTTAGAAATAAAGTTTACAATGTAAATAATAAGTTTCATAATAGTAAAACGAAAATTTTAATTTAATAATCGATTTTTTTTATACTGTTCTTAGAAAAAAAAGTTATTTGCCATCGAAACACAGTTCAATAATTATTTAATTCATCAGTCATAATTATCATTTGAATAAATGTTCCATACTCAAATATCATTTCATTCAATGTTTCAAATTTAATTGAACATTGATTATATTTATCAGAAGAAATTGTAATGTCTTCAGTAATTGTATCATCTAATATTCGTTCTTCAATTGTTTGATTATTTAATAAATGATAAATATTTTTGATTAATTGTCTTTTTGATAATGAAATTTTAAATAGACGTAATAAAAATGGTTGATTTTGTTCTGATTCTAATGTAATTGTCATATTACCAGATGGAAAATGCCAGAAAAACATAACTTCTCTATTTATACATTGATCAATTGATAAATTAATTGATGATTGTTGACAAACGGATGATGATGAAATAATAAATGAACAAGGATAATACGTCCAAATTGTAGTAGTCAATTGGCATTCCGATAATAGAGATGTACTGTGAATGAAATGGAAAATAATAAATGAAAATATCGTCACTAAAATGTACATTGGATCATTTTACATTTGGAGAATTCATCGTTTAATGATAGAATATAAAAGAAACTGATTAAATGAATGTGTATATGTTTGTATGATATAGGTAAGTATGCAGGTGAGCCGATTGTAAACATACATATGTACGTGTATAAAGTATAGGAAATGTGTCATCACGCATTCGATCAACAGACACTAAACTGTTTGTTAGTAGAATGAATGATACTAATTATCTCGAGCAACTAGACACTCCCATCTATTATCATTCATCATTTGTTTCTTTCTTATCAATATTCATTCTATCTCATGTTCTTTGTTTTGTTTTTTATTGAAACAAAAAAAAAGTAACAGACAAAACAATACAAAAGAAAACGAAGAACAATTAATTTTCGTTTTTCAATGTTTTTAAATAACAATATGTTTCATATTTTCAGTTTGTAATCGAATAGCTCGATCAATAATAGTTTGTATTGGTTTTTCTAAATTCATAATAGATTGACAATTAAAATACGGATGTTGTTCAATCAAATGTTTAGCTGTTGGACGATTTTGTGGATTATAAATAAGAATATCCTGAGAAAATATTCAATATTTATATAAGAAAATTTTATATATATATATAAAAATGAATTTATACTGATAGAAGTTGTCGATCAGCATTCAATATTGGTAATTGAGATAGTTCAATACTATTGATTGGAAAATTAGGAAAATTTGCTTGATAATAAAGACAATTAGCAATATCAGGCCATTCAACTACCGATGGGGTACCAAACAATCTACTAATATAGAGTGAAAATCAACAAGAATTAACTTACCGAAAAATAAGTAATAATTGATCAATTTCACATTCACCACGAAATAATGGTCGACGAAGACACATTTCAGCAAAAACACAACCAACACCCCATATATCCAAAGGCATACCATATGTTGGTGCATTAAGTAAGATTTCCGGTGGACGATACCAAAGTGTTACGACTTCATGTGTTAATGCTCGTTCTGGGATACGACAACGTCGTGCAAGACCAAAATCAGCCAATTTTAAATGACCTGAAATTTTATATAGAATTATTTTTGATAATAAAATCATAAATTTACCATTAAAATCAATAACAATATTTGATGGTTTGATATCTCGATGAATCTTGATTAGAAATAAAATAAAAAAGCTGTTAGCACAATTCCTGGCGGGATTAAAATGTGAAACATGATCTAACTGTTCTTTCTACCTTCATGAAGATAGCGTAATTGTATCATTATGAAGCGGCTTTTAACTTATCCTGTGGGACAAAGGTATAGAAATATCAGAAAGAAATGTTTCACGTATGATGAACTCAATTGATTAGCAATTTAACAGTAGTTACAAAATTCAAGAGAAAAATCGTTTAATATAAAAGAAACTCGTATCTATCTTTCCTAAACAGTATGAGTTCAATGTTCATGTCTATATCGGTCACGTCTATGACGAGGTCAAAAGAACATGTGTCGATCACGTCTGTAAGAGAGAGATGTAGTGGGTACAAATTTCTGTCCCTAAACACTTCAACACTCGTTTTAGATCATGTTTCATAAAATAAAATATTTACAATAGCACGCCGATGAAGATAATCAATAGCACATAGTATTTGATATGTATAACTCTATGAAATAATTTAAAATATATTTCAAATTAAAAATTTTATTTATTATTCACTTGTATGAGTTTCGAAGATAATCTTTCTGTTGATAAACATGCATCTATATATCGTTTCAGATCTATAGGAAATATTTCAAGAAAGAATGAAAGAAAATCTTTTTTATCAAAATTATATTCAACATGTACAAGTCTAAAGAATAATAATGATAATAAATATGAATAGAATTTAAGATTTTAAATTAATTTATAATACTTAATAATATTTGGATGATCAAGTGTTTTAAGAATAGAAATTTCTCGTATAGCTGTTGCTGATAAATCACCATTAACATCCATTTTTTCATTATATTTTATTGTTTTACGAGCAAATTCCCATGTATGTTCTGATGAATGACGAACATGATCAACATAACCAAAAGTACCTAATTATATAAAACTTAATTTTATAAAAATCTAAATGAAAAAGAAGAACAAAATACAAACCAGTGCCAAGTAATTTGATATGAATCCATGATAGAGAATGTTTTGATTGCCTTAAAGTTTTAGATTTATATTAGAACAAAAATGATTGATTAAAACATACATTAATAATGGTGATCGACAACTATGGCTGTGGTAATTCATTTAAAGTTTTTCTTTTTTTTTATTTATTTATTTAAAACAAGAACTAAATGTAACTCTCGTAGAACATATAAAGTGGAAAAATAAATGTTTCTTATTGATAGATAAACGGTGTGACGATATGTAATTCTAAAGCGAACGAAAGATAATAAAATTTATTTGTTTACAGATGTCCTTCAGTGACTGTTTTCATAATAGAATGTTTTTACTATCAAATGTGCTACTTATGAAAATTTAATTGTATTTTTATATTAAGACATGAAATATTATTTGATTGAGATTTAGACGAATATACAATAGTCTCTTAGTGGATATTAAAATATATTTTGACCAATTTAAATTTATGATATTCTTTGATTATAGTTTCGAAATATTATTACAGAATTATTGTTATGAAGTTTATGTTATATAATTTGAAATATATTCAGTCGTATTTTCACGTATAGTGATATATTAAATATAGCAAAAGTTTTAATATTTAATTAATATTCCTTTGATATTATATTGACACCTAAGTGCTTCATTTTTGAATAACTTGAATGAATTCATGAACAAAGAAAAATATACATTTATTTGAAGAAAAAAAAATATATATCTGATCATTATATTTATTTAATCATCCCAATCTTTTTTTGATTTTTTCTTTGTTTCAAGTTTTTTAGATCGAACATAAGTTTCACCTAATTCAAATGTCAGTTCTTTTTCATTGATTTTTTTATCAATTTGTTCATGTATTGGTCGAGGTCGACTAATAATATCACCATAAATTTGTGCAAGTTGACCAAATTCTTCAACAGTTAATGTTAAACACTTTGTATCTGATTTTAAATGAGCACGATGTAATAATTCACGTGTATCTTCATCACAAGTCTCTTGATGAAAGAGAGATCTAAATAAATAAATATTATAAAATTATTAAAACAAAAAAAAACAAAAATAAAAATAAAATTACGTCATAGTCATTCCCATTTTTTTATTTCGTGTATGAAATGCAGTTCGAGTCACTTTGTCTAAGAGATCATAACTAACATCGACTAATGGTCGTTTTAATGGAATCAATTGCATAACAGCAACATTTACATTTGCAGCTGGAACAAATGCTCGACCAGAAAATATATGTTTAATACGACAATCAAACCAATTTTGAAAAATAATTGATAAACGACCACGTTGATCCATTAATGCATCGGATACAATTCGGCCAGCAACAGCTTCTTGCATACAAATTGTTATTGGTATTCGATAACCATATGAAAATGGACCGGATTGAGTTGATACTTGTTGTAACCAACGTATAAGAAGTGGAATAGCAATATTAAATGGAAGATTTCCAACTAAATGAATTGGTGATAATGAAGAAGATTCATTAGATTCCCATGAACCACGTTGACTTGTAATACTATCAGGTATAACAGATTCAATATCAAAATCGAGTATATCACCTAGATAAAGTCGGAGACGAGAATCAACAGCATTAGCTAATGTCTAAAATAAAGTTTTATATTTGATAGCACTTAGGACATACTAAAAGTAGTCGCGTCAGTTCTATAAAGTATTATAGAACTAGCGTTACTATTTTTACTATGTCTGCTAAGTAATTACTTGTAATGCAGGAAATAATCGAATATCTTTTTCAATAGCTGCTACTTGTGCTGCTCCATGTTCAAATAATTGTCTTGTTATACCTCCTGGTCCAGGTCCAACTTCAATTACAAATTCTAAATAACGAAAGATTTGAAATCAATATTCATATAACAAGAAAGAACAATCTTTTTTTTTCTAAAAATATATATTACCTCTCCATGTACATACTATTTTCAATATTGCCTGCACATGCGACAAATTTACTTGTTCCACGAGGATCTAACAAAAAATTTTGTGCAAATCGACGTAAAGCTGGTAATTTATATGTACGAAGTAAATCCGCTGCACTTGGTGTAGGTGGTAACATTAATTTTTGTATATAACCCATAATAAGTTTTCTATCTATAATTCACAAATTTTCTTTGTGCGTAATGTATTTTGAAAATTGTCTTTATTAAGTTTATTATAATTCAAAACTGATAAATAAAATGATTAGCAAAAGAGAAAAGCACGAGACAAAGAAAAGAAAATGATAAATAAAATTATGAAATAATTTGTTCAAGTGATGATACTGATGATGTTGAAAGTTTGATCATACGTTGATAACGAGCAGCTCGAAATGATGTTAATGCACCAAAAATACTTAAGAAAATCATACAAGTAAACATAGCTGACCAACCATATTGAGCAACAATCCAAGCAATAACTGGTCCTTCAAGAAATGTACCAATAGAACCAACACCTAAAATAATAAAATTCAAAATTTAAATTCTTTTATCGATCTTCAATAATTCATACATTTAAGAAAAAAAAGAAATCTCAAAATATCTATTCATTAACATCATATCAAGTCATTTTTTTGTTCAATCTCTATTCATGTCAAATAGTATTTACGGAATTAATATTCTTATCAATGATCCATACTCAAGTACCATCATTTTGTCATGGTTATATTATTACTTGAAATCTATATGTCTACTAGATTTAATTCAATACTTTTCTTTTTGCTATGAGATTGATTACAAAATATTCAATAATATCAATCAAGTATATCTACATATAATAATAGTAAAGTATTTCTATTCATTGGCTTATATAGTACGATCTCGATATTAGTTATTTTCAATCGTCATGAGAAATGATTAAATGACGCTTGATAGTATTACATATAATCATCATCTATCAATCATACAATATTTAAAAAAAATCAATGTAATTTGTCAGTTTTCATTGAACAATCATAAATTAAAAGGTGTAAAACATTGTGATTGTATTCTTCAATAGAATCATATCGATATTAGTTTATGTTGTAAGTTTAAAAATGAGAAAGCAACTTCAATATTATATATATATTTCTTTTAAAATATACTACAGTATGTATTGCGATTTGCATTGTGATTGAATTATGAAGTGTATTATAAAAAAAGAAAAAAAATCATTGAAATTTCACACGTTTTTCTTTTTTATATACTTCTCAAGGTATCAATAGAGAATTATGGGGTTTATTTTTCTTCTTTTCTTTTTCTCCTTGCATTTTCTTTCTGATTTACGTCACTTTAGAATTTTCAAAAGACAATAATAATTGTATATATTCTCATGAATCATTTTTCGCATTTTTTTTTAATATCAATAAGAAAAAAAAGCGTTGCTTGTGGTTTTAAGTTAACAAAGATTTCTATAGACATTGCTTATTCTAACTTTTCTGATGTTGTCTTAATTTTCTTGTCAGATTCTTTTTTCCTCAAACATTGCATACCATTGTAAACATCGTCCATAATTAAGTGATCTTTCTCTCGTTTTCCCATATGCTGTGTATTGGAGGTGATGGTGTTGTAATAAAAAAAAATGAGCGAAAGGCGAGTCAAATATTAGCCGACAGAGAGAGAGAGAGAGAGAAAGAGAAAGCACCGTTTTATGCTTTGTTCGTATTATCATCCTTTACGTCTTTTTCTCCGACGAGATGTATGCCTTTAGGGCATCTTTCTTTTCTTTTTATTGAACATACCTACCGTCTGTTCGTAGGATTATATATCGGCTCGAACGTGTATATATCTACGTTCATTCATTTTTCATGATCACCACCATCTGCTCACACCTGCATAAAAAAATACTAGTCTTTTTGTCTTTCTCTCTTCTTCTTCTTTCTCTCTTTTTGTGTTCGCTTGCTTGCTCACTTAATTGCTGATACGTTTTTCCAGAAACAACATTGCCTAGAAGGCAAATCCCGGAATATCGACTGTGTGTGTGCTATAGGCGATTGACAACATAAAGAGAGAAATTCTTTCTTTACATGCACTGCACTTCTTCTTTTGTTTAAACTGATGTTTGTAGCTGAATTGTATGTAATGTAAAAAAAGCCGAGAGTGCTGCTGCTCCTTGCTGGTCGGATGAAAGTGATGAAAAAGTGTCGATAGAGAGAGAAAAACGAACAAAAAAATCTCTCAATATCCATATTCTTATTGCTCTTGCGTCGTTTTCTTGTTGATAGTATTGGCAGCTGCAGAATAGAGAGTAACAGAGTTTCAATTGTTTGCTATAGCGACTGACTGCAGATGCAGACAGAAGGAGGAAAGAGAGTTTCGTTTGACTATTACACTCTCGATACTTTTTTTACAAGCCAACATGTGCGACGCATATACAAACAGCAAGTGTACCACTGCTATCGGAAGAGGTACTGTGCACACATACAATTAATTAGAGCACGAGAACGAAGGTGAGTCTCGCGATCAGTAACAAATATGGACATAGGTAGAGAGAAGAACGCTCATATATATATATATATATTTTTATATATATAAAATATATATATATATATTTGTCTGTCTTTCTTTCTTTTCTCTGGCACTAAGCTAATGAACATTGTCGCTCGATATTTGCGCCCATAACAATGCCGTATATCTCAATGTAAGGAAGAAAAAAAACGAGAAACAGAGAAGGAGAGAGAAAATGATCTATTTGACAAAAAAAAAGCAGACAGGCAGCAGCAATTTGATGTTGACATGCAGTTGACCTATAATCATCGTAAAAAACGAGAGAGAGAGAGGGGGGAGAGAAAGAAACAGAGTAGCGTCCATCATTATCAGCAACTAGAGATCTTTTCTATTTTTATTTTTTTCTATAGCAAAAGAAGAAAGAGATGAGAGAACACAGAAGAAATTACTCGTCGGCCCGTTATCATTTGGCAGATCGAATTTCGCACGCTCCATCAGAAGGTGGTGTATCCTCTTCGTTACATTTTATGTTTACATTCGTTTCGTAACATACATAGGTAAATGCTCGTGTGCAAGCGCCATTGCTACTCGATCGGAGAAGAAGAAGAAGAAGAGGGATATCTTTATATTTGACATTAAGTCAAAATCGAAGGTTGTTGTTACTCTTCTTCTTCTTTTCATTGATTTATTTTGTTATCGCTATCAATCGAATGCTTACGAACGGGAACGAGAATAAAGGTAGTCATTGTGATATATATATATATGAACACTCGTCTATCTGCTACTTGCTCATTCGATCTCTTCCTCTCTCTCTCTCTCTGCTCGCGTTTTAATCCCATACTAGTGCTGCCATTCTCGATTCGGGTGTATATCCTTCCTTTTTTTTTTCTTTGTATGCGTGTGAACGCACACACATTCTTCATCACCCAGTTTTTTTTGTTCGTTCTGATGATATACGACGAGAAACAAGGAAAAAAACTGTGTGTATGTGTTCACTATTCTAAGATACGAGACGAAGACAGACATAAGGAAAGAAATGGGTAGTCTCTCTTTCTCTCTTTTTTATGTTTTTCCTGAACTCTATATCCCGGGCACAAAAAAAGATAGACGATGACGACCGTCAAGGAAATATGAGGCAGCATCCATTGAGAACAGAAGTGAACGACAACAACGGGAGATGGATATAGAGATATGCGCGAGACGAGAAGTGTTCATCTTTTTCTTCTGCTTCTTCTTTTGTCAACTGGGCGACATATATATATATATATCTATATATAAATCCAACAACATCAATAAGGAATAAGACAGAGAGAGAGAGAGACAAAGACAGAGACAGAGGACGCAAAAAAGAAGAGAAGAAGATATATCCTCATTCGAGTATGCTAGTGGTGAACTCTAGTTGACACTCGCATTCATATATATAGGACAGGCATAAAACAGAGAGACGAGGTGAGTAGTATAAGATGATGATAATCATGATGATCTGTAAAATAAAAAAAATGAACGTAATCAATATTTATGAGTATGAGACTTGATAAATCGTCTGATAGACATATTTATACTAGTCTTGTCTTTCGTGTTCATCATCATTCAGCAAATGTCATACATACAGATACATGAATATATGTGTTTATCATTATACTCTATTGAATAGTTAAGAGAGAGATAGATAGAAGAAGAGTAGCAAAAAAATCACGAAAAAATAGGATATCGACTGATTTTCGTTTAATATGCAGCACCAGCCGCATATGCTCGACAAAGTAAGCAGATGGTACGTAAAGAATAGAGAAAAAATATGATGTTTGCGTGTGTCATTTTGTATTTGTAGGAGAAAAAAAATGATAAGAGAGAAAGACTAGTAAACGAGAAGAACAAGAATATCAAGCACTAAACAACTATCTGAATGTATATTCGTATAATAGAAACTGATTCCAAAGGTTACCAATAATATCTTATTATATGGAGAAGGAAAAAAAAGAGAAATTATTCATTCTTTCGTATATTAAAGATGTTCGTTTTTTGGTTTTATCTATATTCTTCTTCTTCTTTTTTCGTATATTGACGTAGGATAAGGGACAAAGGATGAGCCTTATTCACATGTCTATATCACGCAATTTGTCATTTTAGATCTCTTTACTCTATTCGTTCTCGCTCTCTCTCTCTCTTTCTCTATCCCTCTCTTTTATACACTCGTGCGCACATCCGTCGCTCGTTTAGTAAATACCAGGATGCATAGAACGATACTCACATTTGTATGCTCAAGATATCGTGTGCTTTACGTATGTCTCTTCGACCTCCATTTATTGTTCAATGTTTGTTCATCTTATTTACAACTATTTCTTTTTTCTAGATCTCTTTTTTCGTCTTTTTTTTCTTAATAATAGACAATACTCATTTGAGGGTGTATATGCATATATATATACAATATGGCTACCGCCGCTACATCTCTTGCTGATTTTCATCAAATGATTAAATTATTTGGTACTGATACAGATGAAATGACTAGTGGAACAACAGCAACGACAACAACATCATCATCAACCGCAGCAGCATTTGTATCAACTGATGATCTTGAAGATGACGAAGAAGATGATGATGATAATGATCATGAATTACAACTCGATGAAGAATCACCAAATTCAAGTGGTGGTGAAGAAGAAATAATGTCACATTCATCCATTGCAACATCATCAATTCAAATAAATAAAGATGAACAATTATCAACAAAACCTATATCATCAGCAGCTGCTGCTGCACGTTTATCACGTTTAGCAAATCAACGTATTGATTCGAATCGTTTTTTAATATGTTCAGGAACAAATTCATATAATACAATACGTAAAACAAAACATGAAGTAAGACGTTTTGCATTATATTTAGAAGATACATTCGGTGAAACTTGTCCAATTGATGAATTAAAAGCAGAACAATTATGCACTTATTTAAAACATTATTTTGGTAATGTACGTAAAGCTGATAATACGGAATATGAACCTGATACATTAAGAAGTTTTATGTTATCTATTGAACGTTATTTAAAATCTCGAAAATATCCATGTAATATACTTGAATCACCTGTTTTTGCTCCATGTCGAGAAGTTATACAAGAAAAACGTGATACTTGGGCAAAACCAAATAAAAGTGTGTGCAATTCTAAAGTCGAAGCATTTACATCTCATCATGAAACATTATTACGTAAAATGAATATTATAACACGTGATACACCAGATGGTTTATTACTTGAATTATTAATTAATAATTCAAAATATTATGATCAACGTGGTTATGAATCAACAATAAATCGTTCATTATTATGGGGTGATTTAGAAATAAAAACTGATTCAACAACATCAAATGAATATATTGAATATAAACGAACACCACAAATATCATCAACAAATAAAGATTCAACAGCAGCAACAACAACAACAAATGAAATTTCAACAACAAATTTACGTGCTTATGCAATACCATCACATCCGAATGAATGTCCTGTTGTTGGTTTACGTCTTTTATCATATCATCGTCCACCACAATGTTCAAATGCAGATGCACCATTTTATCTGGTACCACGTACATCAGCTGATCAACGTGTTTGGTATAAAACAATACGTGCTGGTCGTCATCGACTTGATTTATTATTACAACAAGCTATGCAAAAAGCTGGTATTAATGGAAAATTTTCATGTATGAGTTTACGAAAAGGAAAAATAAAAGGTTTATTAGTTCCAACTACAACTTCAAATATTGCTTCCATCATAAATTCAGATAATTCATCGTCTTCATCATCACCATCAACGGATGATAGATCAAAAATTAATTCAACATCACCATTATCTATATCTGAACAACAATCATTATTAATATCAAATAATCATAAACGATCAACAAGCTCAACATCAAATTCTAATTGTTCAGAATTACTTGATTTATCATCACATAATAATAATCATAATAATCATAATCATAGTAATAATAATACTGTTATTAATTTAGCCAAAAGAATCAAACGAGAATCAACACCACCATCAATTTTATTACCTATGCCATCATCGGCATTGGTAAGATAAATTTAATTGAACGAAAAACAAAAATCTGTCTCATTTTTTCTGTTTAGAATAATGGTACGAATTCCAATCATCAACATTTAACATCAATGCTTCCACTTCAACAAAAATCACAAAATCATCCACAACGTCCACTTGTTACCGTTGATGATTTACCAGCATTAATTGTTCAAACACCAACATCCGTATCATTATCACCGAATAGTAATAATAATAATAATAATAACAACAATAATAATAATAATAATAATACGACTAACAAACGTAAATTAACATCACATGATACATTCACAGCACTCTACTCTGCAGCACATTCCAAATCATCAAGACAATCAAAAATGAATGTTTTACGTAAATATCTTGAAGAAACACTTGGTCTTGTCGAATTTCTTACATTATATGAATATTTACGACGTAATTCACATATTAAATTACAAGGTACACCTATTGAACATTATGAACATGTTTTACCTGTTTTACTCACATTACTTATGCTTGAAAATACAGCATAAAGTCAATGTTCTTATCTTTTTCTTTCTGTTTTAATCGAGTTCTTCTTTATTTCTTTTCTTCTTTATATAAGTTTTAATTTTAACCAACAAATTCATTCCATTCAGTCAATTATTCTCAAGTGAAATGATCATGCATGTATGTGTTCTTCTAGTCGTTCCTAATTCTTTTCTTTTTTTTGGTCTTCTTGATTTTTCTTGAAAAATTCTCATGTCAAGTCCTTATTTCATTCCTATGTTGTCATGTGTTCCGTTTTATTGTGTCATTCCAGAATCGTTTCTTCTTCTTCTTCTTCTTTTTTTTTCTATATGTTTTATGTATGTTTTCTCGTTTTCCAGCGGTATGTGTGTGAGAGAAAGAGAATGATGTAATTTGTATAAACGAGATGAAATTTTTGAGAAGTGTGGAGAATGAATTTTAATAATATACATACCGTTGACAAAACCAATAACTGCACTACCAGCATTTCGACCATTCATTTCACCTATTTCAATTGGTACTGAACTACCTACAAATTTAAAAAAGAGAGAAAATAAGATTATTTCACATTCTTGTCTAAATCGTTTCTATAGAATTCGTTCTTTGCTCTATGAATAGAGTTTCAGATGGTATCGTGTTATTTAACTCAATCGTATAGTATTCTATTATGATTATATCTTTCATCGCTATATAATAGAATACTATGATCGTACAGAGCTCTACCAATTAGTTAAATTATAATTACTGTTTTGTAATACTAAAGATACCCTAAATATAAGTCACATATATATGTAGAATGATTCATGGAAGAATATGTCTTTCGATGAATTTATTATTGTTACTGATGAGGAATATCAGATACAAAATAAGAAGAATCTAATTAGTATTTAAATATTCTTTGCGGATCTTGTTTGGAACCATATCGTCATTTTTCATCTTTTACTCAGTATTTATTTGTCCTTTTTTGACTAGTTCGTTTTCTAATTATTAGTTTTCTAAATATTGACAAGAATTATATGTAATTTTTATGAATAGCTTCTAAAGGCAGAAAAATTGAAGGTTAAAGTCATATCAGACTTCATAATTATTTTGCTATTAGATAGAAAATTTCTACTATTTTTGATCGAATCCATTGTACTTTCTATTTTTTGCATATTAGGATAAAATACATTACGTTAAATTGTTAAACTTACATAGAATAATATCAGCTCCACAATTGAGTAATCCAGTTACAATCATTAAAATTGAATTGATAGTTATGCCTGATTGTGCAAATACTAAGAAGAGAAGAAGAGTGCCAGCACTAAATAATGTTTCAACACCTGCACCAAGACATCCTTCATTATTAAAAAATCTTTAAACATAAAATAAATCATACGAAAAAATCAAATTTTAAAAATCAAATTACCGATTAAGAATAAATCCAATAGTAGCACTTCCAGCAACTCCACCAATATCAAACATAGTTGAAAAAAGACCAGCATCAGATTTCGAATAATTAAGCTAGAAAAAACAATTAGGAAAATTCTTTTTAAACTAAACTAAATTCAATTTACTTCTTGTTTTAAATATAAAGGAAGCCATAAATAAATTGCATATCGAACAACTTTTAAACAAAATACACTAGCAGCTATTTCTTTGACCATTCTATGAAAAATAAAAGATTTTTTATCAATAATTTAATCAACCAAACTTACGGTAAACGGTATACTTCCATAATTGTCATTCTTGGACGATTATCTGTAGCTTTTACAGGTGATTCTATGTACAAAAAAAGAATATATATATATATTTTCTTTTATATAAATATTTATATTTACCTTTTCCAGTTATGGACATTCTTAATTCAGATGGTTCTCGAAAAAGAAAAAGAACCAAAACACCAGCAATAATCTAGATAAAGAAATTCGTCTTATATATCATAATAAAAAATAAATTTGTATTAACATACACAAAAAATTGATGGTTGAAAATGAACAAGACGCCAACCATCTTTTCCTTGAATGTATACCTAATAAACAAACGATTAAGATTACAAATAATTGTAAAAGAATTTCTTACAGCAAGAGCAGTACCAAGAATACCACCAGCAAATGGACATGTACCAAATAAACCAAAAACAAAATTACGTTGAATATCAGTTACCCAAGCACCAAGACCTTTATTTGCTGCTGCCCAACATAATGACTAAATGATTTTAAAAGAAGAACTATTTTTTTTGGAAATAATCATTTCTTCTTCTTACTTGACATGCACCATTTAGAAAAAGTAATACAAAAAGAATTCGATAATCACTCCACCATCCGAATGTAATCTAAATAATAATTAATTAATATAATGAGAATACTCTCTCAAGACTCTATAATATACCATGGATATTCCTGAACCAATAAGACCATAACCAAATGTACGTCGAGCACCATATCGATCACCCAATGAACCAAAGAAAGTCTATAATATTAAAAGTTCCATTTTTGTTATAGATATTAACTTTTATATATTGTTTTACTTGAACAAGAGCATAGGGTAATAATAATGCTGTATCAAATAGGCCCAACTGATATTTTGAAAATTTTAAATCATTTTCAAGATCAGTTTTAATCTGCAAACAATATTAAATTAATACTATGAAATATGTTGAAGAAATAATCTGTTACTTACAATTCCTAATGGTTTACGTAAGAAATAAGTTAATGCATAAGCTATCCATGCAGTAATAAATGAAATTAAAAGACGATTTTGAATAGTATTCATTAACTTATTCAATACAGATCAATAAATAAGAATACAATGATTCAGTCTAAAAATCAAAATTCTCTATTATCTATTGGAAAAATAGATCAATTGTTTGTGTTAATTTTTAAAAAAAGGTTGCACTAAAATAAGCTATGAAATTTTATTTCTATAATTTTTTTTAGCAATTGTCAAAAAATTTTCATGCATGGCAATAGTTAATTATTTATAAAAGCATGCTACCAATTTTCTTTTGCTTATGCGTCCATGTGAAAGAAAATTATCTATTCATACAAACATATAAAATTCATTGAATCTTCATTAATTGAGTGTATATCTAATATAATAATATCACAGATCAGCATAACTAAAACAAAATGAAAGATTATAAATTAGAACAAGTTTATTGCAAGAATTTTAATCTACAAAAGGAAAGAGGCATTGACAAAATAAAACAGCACGTGTTAACTCATATATGATGTAGGACAACATATCGGTTACTATTGACTTATGAGTTATGTGATACTGAAATTGTTTTAAACGTCTTGATCAAATACTTTTTTTTTCTGAAGGTCTGCAACACTGACGATTGTTTTTTTCTGAAATGTTAATTAGCTTTCAGTCATAGTTCTCATATATTTTAAAGAGAATAAAAACAATATCTGAACAGTGTTATGAGAATCGACAGATGCCTCTATTCAATCTTTTATGATTACATAACATATATTAAAAGTAAAACAGGCATATGTATCGATTATTATTTCAGATAAAACGTGAACTTTTTAAAAAAACATTCACGTAACTATTTCGATTATTCTATATTGCAAGTTTTTAAATTAAACTTCTTGCATACATATTCAAAATATTAGTTCTCTATCTAATAATAAAGTTTAAGAAGATTGTTGTCGTAGAAGAGTGTATCTTACGTCATATATATCAAAACTAATTTCATTACATGCTTTTTGAAAAAAACATACCTATTATAACAGTATCGATACTAGAATCGAATCATACTCATTGTAAATATACAATACTAATTAACAAACTAAATATAAAATTAATGATAATCGATGTTTTCCAGATTTCAGTCATCCAAAAATTTGAATGAAAATACAGATGAACTAGTATTCTATAAATATAAAGCATAGATATAGTGATTGGGTTTTAATGAGACAATAAATAAAATGCATCAAACTACTGCTAATATTATCAGAATTCATAGCATGCTATAAATATGTTTCTAGCTTCTACTAAGTAATGATTGAGTCCTTTCAATAGAATAAATGTCAAAAAACAAAGATAAAAGTTATGCATACTGAAATAAAAATAATTATCTTCGCATACGGTATTTGTAAGCTTTTATTTTTGTTTTTATCAATCTTTCTTTTGAAGTGGTACAGCAATCGTTGTCAAAAGCTAGTGAGGTGATTATACTTTATTGTATGTTTGATGGTAGTAGTAGTAGTAAAATTAACTAGAGATAACAATACATAAGAAAAGTTAGTCATTGGTCAATCAGTTGAATGGATGTTAAATTTTATTTAGAGATGGCGCCAGAGAATATTGAATAGATTTACCTCTATTTGTATGCAATCAGTAATCAAAATCCTGTTTTGACAGTTTCATCTATTACACTGTCGATCATATATCGATCAATTTGATATTAATGTTATTTTCAACTCATCTATTACAGCTGATACTCAATAATAAAATATCTAGAACAAAATAAATTCCTATTCATAGTCTATTCAAAAGAAGAAATCTATCAATGTGAAGAGCAAGGGGGAAACAGTTGGTTCCATGAGTCTATTAATTTCAAATGATTTTACTGATTTACTTAACTCTGAATTATTTGAGTACATAGGAATAGATTTCTCAGTTTTGGTTTTATGATTTTTCTTATAAAATATGTTTTGAATTATATGGACGTTTAATAACTGAATTGATGAGTTGTGTACACTACTCTAATGTTGTATATTTTTTAATTCATGTCTCCTCATTTTGTTTACATAGAAAATCTTTTGTACTCAAATTCGACTAGAAGTTACGAGAAAGATAATACTCTACGACATCGTCCCACGTATTACATTATACTCAACATTTTTCATGACTATTACTTGTTGTTCACCAAAAAAAAACAGAAAATCTCGAACGTAATAAATGAGTTAATCATACATAAAACTACACTATTGCCTCGCTCGCAAATTATTGACTCATGTAGTGACGTACAACGTATGAAAGCCTGACTTACAACTACCTTTCGTCCGGTATATAATGCGATTGTTTTGTAAGGTTTTCTAATATTGATCATTATAATAATCTTATAATAAACGTGTTTTAAAGCAAGAATGTTGAATATTTATTTTATTATATTAATAATTATACCATTCATTAATGTAATACAATGCGGCGACTCGACTACTACTACTGCTAATGATGGATTTGGATGTGGACCAATGGGTATTAATATTGATACAGTGCTTCGTGGATTAGATCGACAATCATTTATTCCATGTTGTGTACAACATGATTTATGTTATCGTACATGTAATCGAACTAGATCACAATGTGATTGTGCATTTTATAGATGTTTTCAACAAAGTTGTGTTAGTCGTTATCCCAAATGTATTGATTGCTATGCTTATAGTATTGAATTCTTCAAATTAGTTCGTATTGGTGGTCTTCCATCATATATTCACGATCAGGAAAATAATAACTGTACTGCTACATATGACAATAAGGAGACAAACAATATATCCATGGATAAAAACTATGTACCTGAAAGTTATTGTAAAGGAATTAATTAATTTTGAAAATAAAAATAAACATTTACTATAAGTCATGTTATTTTATATTATTAACATCGATAGAACATAAGTACAACACAAAATCATATCTATCCTGAATAATCATTGTAAGTTTAAGTTCATTCAGTATAATATTATATAGAATAACTTTTGTATTAAGAGAAATGTCTTTATTAAAAAAATAAATATCACATAATAATTTATTTCGCAAGTATACGATGTTATATAAAAAAATTCTTTCAATTCAAATTAAAAACAATTTGAATAATAAAAAATCACAAATAAAAAAGTTTTTTTTTTCATAATAAATTTCTTACAAAGATTTATATTAAATTTGGAATTAATAATTCATAACTAACAAATTTCCTTCCTTCTGTATGTTTTCCACCACTTTCTAACCATAAACGAATTTTTAATGTATGTGTTCCTATATCATCTTGACCAACTTCTTTCCTATGTGAACAAGAGCGATTATGAGAATGTATATGTATTGGTGATTTTGCACTACCATGACCATCATGTGATGATGTTGGACCTAATTTAACAGCAGGAATATGTTTTTGTTTAGATTTAAAAACACGTTGTAAACATCCAATTGTGATATTCTTATAAACTGTTGAATGATCCTCTTCGCAAATTTCAAAATAACACCAATTACGATTTGACATTAATTTTTTATGACGAACTTTTCTTCCAGTTTCTGGTAAACGTTGAAAAAAATCAATTAATTCTTCAACTGTTTCTTCGACTGGATACCATTTTGTTCTAACATAATGAGCAACAAAAAGAATTTGTCGTGATGGTGGTTTATTTACAATAGCAGACGATATAACTTGATACATTAATTTACTATCATTTATTGGTAATAAATCATCCTGTTGTCTTTTTTTAAAACGACTTATACCACAACAATGTACATCTCCACTAAAGAATGTTATTCTTATACGTTTTCTTTCAGCAAATTTTTGAAAACGTATTAATTCACGATTACGTTCATCAATATGTGACGCATTTGTCCATTCATCAAGAAGATCATCATAAAGTTCTGGTAAACCAAATATTGAATTTGTTTGTTTAATTGGTGGAACATTTCGAAATCTATTTGGAAATTTTTTTATATGGTCAAAAATATTTTCAGCTAATTTAAATCGAACAAATGAAAATGGAACAGGAAATACAACAATTAAATGTTTTATATTTATAATATCATTTTCTAATTTATCAAAAATCATATTCCAACTTTCTGGATGATGAACTATGTTTGTATCACGTTCAGTACGTCCATCTGTACCTATTATTACCAGATCGGGACCACACTGCGTAAGACTATTATAACCTTGATATCCAAATAAACCATGAACACGTGCTTTTTCTGCTGTTGTATGATGTTGAAATAATAATCGCATTTTTTGTGCACATTTAAATAAACCTGTCATCATAGGACTATCATGAAGTAATGGTGGATAAGATCCTGCACCATCAAATATATCATGATCATCCCACATCATTATACTTGGTATAGATGCTAAGGCATTTTTAACTTCAGGACGTTCCCAATTTTGAATATAACTATTGAAATGATATTGCTCTATTTGCTCTTTTAAATCATCACGAAAATCACATGTCCATTTTTGATTCCATTCCATGTCTACCCACTCTTTTAAATAAGGAACATCTTCAAACATAAAATCAACATAAGTTTGATCGCCACCCCATATTAATATATGAAGTGGAGTTTCTTCATGAATAGAATTTAAATGTTCCCAAACAGTACCAAATGTAAGATCTGTTCTTATGTCATCTGGTACAGTACTATCAAATCCATTACATGAGAAAAAACCTCCACGCCAATTTTGATTATAACGAGCAATATGAAATAAACCATCAGTTATATGATCACCCCAATTCATTTTCCAACGAATTATATCATCACCTTTACCATCACGTAATTCAATTGATATATTAATTCGATAAATTCGCATATTAAATAAATTATCATACAGAATTTCCCAATTAAAATCTAGTTTTGGTTCACAAAAAAATTCAATTTCTGGTTGGTCATATGATATATTACGTAATATTAATGCACTTCCAAACCATAACATTCTATTTAAATCAGTAGTTAGAAATTGATAATATGGTCCTAATGCTGGTCCTGGTTGTTTTGGTGGACGAGTAATATGAGGTGATTGTATAGAAACTGGAATAGGTGGTGGCATGTCTTCTATTTGTGTTGTTGTTAGTTTTGGTTCAGGACAATCACCATTATCATGTGGATTTGGATTTACAGGATTAGGAGCATCGATTTCTAAATCACCAAATCTATCTTTAACTACAATATTATATTTATTATTCTCTTCGTTTAATATTTCTTCTTCCATAGTAATAAGTTAATATAGTACAAAGATATACCTAAAACGAATTAAATAAAAAATATTAATTATTTTAAATCAATCATCATGAATACAACCAAGTAATGCTTATCTAATGCATCTAATGAATAAGATCTTTTCGTGATAGTTCTAACCTACTTCAAACACACTTCTATACAGTAAGTAATCGTACAATGATATTATTCGCGAAGTATACGTATGAATATTAAGTACATACGATGAGTATTTGTCCTTCTACTTTTATTTGAAAAATTATTACTACAAATGCTTTCGCCTGTATCCTATAGTAATACAATCAATCAAAATATTCTCTTGATCAAAGAATTTATTCAAAAATAAAAAATTGTATACACTTACTTTCAAAAAAAGAAACGTTTTGTATATTGTATTACTGTATTATTTGAAATGATAGATGTTTTTTTGTCCTTTGTAATAAATAGATACTGTTTGTTAACCCTCTCGTATAGAATATTACGTTTCTTTTTTTCTTATTGTACAATTTGTATATAACAACATATACATATTTTTTTTTTCGTTCACCTTTCTTTTCGATAGTATGATGTTTAGTAGTACATTAATTATGTTACCCCACAAAACGGTTACAACATGTACATATGTTACCTATCGAGAATGATTTCGGGCTGACTATTCAGTAATCCTTATATGTTGTGACTACATATTATTTTTTTTTGTTCTTTTTCTGTATTAAAAATAGGTATAACTATTGGTATAGATACTGAGTATCGATGCATTTCACGTAGGTGACGCCCATATTGATGATATTTTTTATTTATTTTGACCGAATAACAATACGAATTAAAGTAACATGCTTGATGTTCGATAGAGTCTAATCACAACATTGGCTACAGTAAGAAAAATGGACTGTTATACCTTTGAGGAATTCAAGAAATATATTGTCATATTTTTTGGAGTACAATAAAAATTAAAACTTGTTGTCCTTGTAAAAGAATTTTAGGATTAAAGAAATATGATATTGCAGGATATTAGAAAAATGAATTGTTTTATTCAAATAGAAGTACAAAATGATAGTATTTCATTTATTCTTTAGCTTCTTCAAAGAAAAAAATACATCTTGTACTATTCTTGCATTTGATTTAGCTTTATGACAAATGTCTCTAATTAATGCTCAATTGGTTTTTCATTAAGTATATCTATAAGTAAGATAAATAAGTTTAGAAAGCTTTTTTAACCAAAAAAATTCAACTCAGGTTTCGAAAATCATTTTTCGAATTTTTTTCCGAATGGGCTCGATATATTTTCCGAAGTTTTCCAATTTCTAAGATTTGTGTCTGGCAATCCTGAATGGAAATAAAGCAAAAAAGATATTTATTAAATTTTCTATTTGATACCACACGGATATTTTTTTAATTATATTCTATTTTTGATGTAATTATTTGTTTTGATAAACCTGAGATTTATACTAAAGTATTGATGTAAAGAGAAAATGACGAAAAACTAATAATTAATTAATTTGTAAGAGTTTATCTATTCATTTATCTTTTATATTAGACAAGAAATAATTATTTCATAAAAAAAAATCAAAATAGATACATTTTCATGGTATCTAGGTGTCTTAAGATGTCAGTATAATTTAAATGTAATTTTGATTGGTTGTTTACCTAAGTCTTTTCATTTCTTTTCATGATCATTGTTTGTTACTGACAAAAATAAAGAAAGAATGGCGACAGCAGAACTCGTTTATCCACTTGCTTTTCCAAAATCTATTGCACATAAATGTGAAATATGTGGCAAAACAGCATCACGAATGTGTGCAAAATGTCGTGTTACATTTTATTGTTCTGAAGAACATCAAATAGCTGATAATGTTGGTATCCATGATAAAATTTGTCCAACATTAGCAACACTTCGATCAAAACAACCATTCCTACCATCTGAAGAAGAACGTCGTGATCGTGATCATGAAATACGTGAGAAAAAACTTCATTTAATTGAAGTTACTCGAATGATTGGAGAAAGACATGTAAAAATAATCAAAATTTTAATTTCTTTTTCATAAATTTCTTTTTCTAGGTCTTTCAAAATCGTTATGATGCTGCAATACCAGCAGCACTTGCTTCACTTAAATTAGCTATGGATGTTTATGGTCCACGAAGTGTTGAACTTATTCCATCTTATTTAATCTTATCTGAAGCTAGTTTAGGTTTAAAACAATTAAATCAATGTTGGGAATATTTATCTCAAGCACAATATACAGTTTTACAACAACAAAATCAAGCACCACCTGCAATAACATCACAAGTAGCACGAAATATGGCTCAATTAAGTATTGCTAGAAAAGATTATGATGAAGCAGCTAGACATTTAGCAAATGATGTATGTATTCATTTCTAATTGAAATTATTTTTGTATTCAATTAATTTTTCTTTAGATATATGACGCATCATTATATTATGGTACAGAACATTATAAAGTAGCTGGAGGTTATTTTCTATTGGGTAAAGTATTTAAATTAATGAACCGTCTCGAAGTAACAGAATCATTATATACACAAGTAACACAAATGTGGTATTATCATTTACGTCGTTTACTTCAATCACGAGTTGTTTTTTCCGATATGGATGCGATTTTAGGAAAGAATGATGATGAAGATGAAGAAGATGAAACAACAAAATCATCAAAACTTGGTAATTAAATAAAAGAATTATTAAATTTCTATTTAAAAAAATATTTTTTATTTTAAGATTTAGCAACAGAAGCTGAAGCACATAATACACTTCAAACATTATTAGCTTATCGTCTTGAAAATCATCATGGAAATCCTATGATACAAGAATTAAATAAAATTTATCATTGTTTTACAATTTTATATTTTCTTGCACGTGATTATATTCAAGTGCATGATTCAATGAATAAAATCAAAGATTGTAATGTTAAAGAAATCGATGATGATCAACAACGTATATTAAAATTTCTTGATCAACTCAATCGAATGAAATCATTAATGAAACGTCAACAACAAGAGAATTAATTCTTCTTTTATTTTTCTTTTCTTTTTTTTCTATTCTTATAATTTCTTTTACTTTAAATAATTTTTCGAAATGAATACAGTGAATGAATCTCTATTCTCTCTTTTTTTCCACAGTATTTTTCTTTAATTGTAGATTTCAGAAGAAAAAATGTGGCAAGAAATGAGAAAACATGAAAAGAAATTACGTGGAATGATTGTGGATTATAAGAAACGATCAGAACGACGAAAAGAATATTACGAAAGAATTGTTTGTTAATTCTCTAAAGATTTTATTTTCATATTGATCTGTATTTTTTTTCGTCTGTAGAAACGTGATCCAGCAGAATTCTTACAAATTTGGGGTCGACCAGCTAAAATTCATTTAGATCCAGCAATAGCAACTGCTGCTGAATCAACACTGTAAGAATGCTCGCACTTTGCATCCCACTTGAGAAAATGATGTTTTTTCTTATATATCTCTGAAATTTTTTGTTTAATTGTAGAACTGCATGGCGTGATGATGAAACAACAATGATTGATCGATTTGATGTTCGTTCACATTTGGATATCATTGATGAATATGCTTTAAAACATCAACAGAATCAACAAGCCTCCGAGTCGGTACTTTTTCAATTTTGTTTAATATACAATCTTACATTGATTGATCAAATGAATAACATATTTTTATTGTATATATTAGAACCACCATGTCGGAAGCAGAACAAAATGATGAACGTTTATGTAATTATGAACGTTATCGAGTTTTAATTCATAATGAATCAACTGGTGGTAAGAAATAGATTTGATGAATAGAATCTAAAAATGAATAATATTTATTTTGAATTTTAGTTAGTGAAGAACAATGTTTGCGTGATATTGAATTTGACGAAAAATTTGGCGCACTTCGAGATGATCATCATCCAGCGGCAAGAGAGGCCAAAAAGAAAAAGTAGGCTGTATCCAATAGAGATTAAAAAAAAAGAACAAGAAAAGCGAGCGTCTGAAAAGTAGTCGTTTTTTTCAAATGATCAAATTCATTCATCGTTTTTTTTCTCTTTTTCTGTTTCAGATCAACTACAAAAAAAGCTGAAATTGGTTTTGTATATGATGATGCACCAATTTCAACATCATCGAAAAAACTTTCAACAGCAGCAGCAGCGGCGGCAGCCGATGATAGCGATGATGAAGATGATGATGATGATGATTTAGATATTGAAATTGATATAAATCAATTAACAAGTGAAAATAAAGCATCATTAAATAAAGTTGCTACACATTATGGAATGGCATTCGGAGATTTTGCACGAATGTTAATACTTGATAGAGAAGAAATGCAAACAATTAGAGACAATAAATTAGAAAGAGAACAGGATATACCTGTGAAGGTAAAAGGAGATTTTTAATTTTTATTGTAAAAATTTATATCAATTTATAAATAGGGTCGTCGAGCTCGTCGTGAACGTCGTTTAGCAAAAGAAAGACGAATTAAAGAACGAGATTTTTGTCCACCAAAGTAATTTTCATCTATTGATTTTTTCTCAGATTTGAGATTATTTTTTTTGTAGTTATTTAAATCGAGAAATGCCTAAGTTACCTGTTGTACAAGCAAAATCGAAATCTCGATCACCATCACCTGTTGATACAACACCAGTTAAAGAAAAAATTGAATTTATTACAGCATTTGGTGATGATGATGCGTCAAAACTAAATGATTTAAAACGAAAACGACCTTTTGAAAAATCATTACTTGATGAATGTCGAGAAGCAAAAAAGAAGGCGGATCCAACTGTTATTCCAGTTCGAACTCGTCGATTAGTTACACCACCACCATTACCTTCACCAACAACGTAGTTTTATTCTAGTATAAATTTTATTTTTAATTTAAAATTTCAATTATTTAGAACATCACTTGTTCCTTGTCGATCATTTCAACGAAAAAGTCAAGTTCTTTTATCTACGCTACAAAAACTAAAAGATGATGGATCACCGTAAGGTTATTACTTTTAATTTTTTTCATTATTTTTAATTTCGATATTTAGTGAAAGACGAGTTTTATCTGATGATGAAATTCCAGCAATAAAAATTGTAAGACTAGACAAGAAAGAAGATAAAGAAGAAAGTAGTAATAATGATGATGAAGAAGAGGAAGAAGATGATGATCTTCAACAGTATCTTAAACGTAAAGAAGCTCGACAGTAAGTGTAAAAATGAATGTATTAAAAAGAAAATTGCTTGTTTCGTTTTTTAAGACGCAATCAGAACTCAACTACACCACAAACAAGTCATAAAGAACAAAATGGTCCTAATCAATCGACGACACCAAAAGTAAGAATGATCATAGGATTTTCTGTTTCTAGTCAAAATTTCATTTCTTTTTTGTATAGATTTCGGCGGTTAAAACTCCACAAGAAAAACTTCGACGTCGAATGCAAACTTTATTAAAAAAACAATGTAAATTATTTTATTTATTTTTTAATGTTGATTCTTATGTAGATTTTCTTTTATTTGTTTAGTTCAAAAAGATAAAGATCAACAACGGGAACGCGAAGAACGTGAAGAAAAAGAACGTGAAGTTCGAGAATCTGAATTACGTCAATCATCAGCTAAACTTCGTCATCGTCATTCACGACATCGTTCAAGTAGTCGATCAAGATCACGATCGAGAAGGTAAATCATTCGTTTGTTTTTTGTTATCGTTTCTCTACTAATATTTATTTGAATTTAGTCGATCTCCAACATCTCGTCGTCGGTATCGTCGATCCTCTTCTCGATCTTCATCGTCAACATCATCCACATCATCGTCATCATCTTCTTCTTCATCATCTCCATCCCACCGTTCATCAAAGAATCGTACTAGAAAAAGACCATCACCGGTTAAATCTCGTTCACCGACACCAGAATTTTTACGACAACGTTTTCGTCGTAGTCATCATCGTCGTGATTCATCGTCATCATCGTCATCGTCACGATCTAATAGAAGTTCATCAAGAAAAAAACGTACAGATTATAAATAAACAGACAGTTTTTTTTCTTCTTCTTCTTCTATATTTCTCTATTCTGTTAAAAATATTAACTTTGTTTTTTCTTTATTCACTAACAACATTGATCAGATTTTGTATTTCTACGAATTTGCTCAATGTTTGATAACAAACAATAAATATTGATAAAAGCGTTTTATGTATCTGAAAAAGAAATATATTAATATACACTTTCAAATTTATGTTCCTAATCTTTTTCATTTGTCATATGAAATATGATATGTAAATTATATAATTGTGAAAAATAATAGCGAGTAAATATCATGATTAATATAAGAAAAAGGACATCGATTAATTTCGTGAAAAGATTATAAAACACATGTCACATGTACTTTTATTGAAGTTATATATAAAGAATGCAAAAGTCTAAAACTGTGTTCATATAGTTTCTATTTTTGCTAGGTAGAAATGTTATTCAAATTTCTACTTTTGATCATTACTTTTCAAAATATTGTCTGTCTACGTGAATCAGGTAAGTGTTAGAAATGTTTCATATAGATTATATTTGTTTTATAAACAGCAGTGAAACGATGTGCACGAGCAGCTAATTCTTGCCTTCTTGCGTCAGAAGCAGTAGAAGGACCTTACTATTGGAATTCAACTGTGCGAAATGATATTACGTAAAATATTCTTTTTTTTCTAATATAAAATTGTTTGATTAATAATTCAATAGAGAGAATAGACCTGGTATTCCATTGAAATTATCAATAACGGTAGTAGATATAAGATCATGTTTAACAATACCTAATGCTGTTGTTGATTTGTGGCATTGTGATGGTACGGGTCTTTATTCACATTATATTGCTGCTAGTCAAGGACAAATGAATGGACCCAATGACAATTCAACATTTTTTCGAGGTATAATGAAGATATTGTTTTTATTCTTATAAATAAATTCTTTGATGAAATATTAGGTCAACAGATAACCAATTCGAGAGGTATTTCTATCTTTAATACTATTTATCCTGGTTGGTATCGTGGTCGTGCAACACATATGCATGTTAAAGTACATATTGATGCTAGTTTGTCGATTATGGACGGTGGAGCAATTTATACTAAAGGTGGACATGTGTCGCATACTGGTCAATTCTTTTTTGATGATAGTCTGACTGATGCAGTGGCGACAGTTTATCCTTATACAACACAAACCATTCAACGTACACTCAATGATGAGGATTTTATTTATAGAGAATCAAATGGAGCAACAATGATTGTACCAATCAGATTTCTTACGAACGAGTTTACTGGTGGAATGGCAGGTGAAATTACAGTTGGTATTGATCCAACTGCTACACCCCAACCAGCTGGAGGAGGTGGTGGTCCACGACCACCTAGACCACCGCCAGGTCCACCTCCATCATAATACTAATCTTTTTTTTTTCTTTTGATGAAATAAGATCATAATAAAATATATTTAACGCGTTTTACTGACGTATATATAATGATTGTTGAAAAGCTAGATAGTAATATAATGATCTTATTTATAAGAAAATAGTTGGTTTTAATTTAATTAGAGATAACATATATCCAATGTTCGTTATTTTTGAAAAATTATTTATTCGTTTCTATAGTTTCTAAAAAACGTTAAACTAGCTTTCCATAACACTCATCATCATTACATTCTGAAACTGGATACGTATTTGGTAGAATGAGTGATTCTGTTGTTAGACTAAGTGTTGTAGCATCACGTCCAGGAAATGTAGCTTGAATAAATGTAGCAATCCAGTAACCATTTGATGGAATAGGTACAGCAATCGCGACAGTAGCAGCTGTACCAGTCTGAGTCTAAAAGATTTAGGCAAGAAAAAATAGTATCTACATAAGGAAATATAACATTGATAGATGATTACCTCTATTTGAACAGCCGCGTTCGCCCATACCACGCCAGTACCTACAACGTTTCCTGACTGGCTAAGTTTTGCTTGTCGAAAATCACGTCTATGACATAGAAAGAATATTGGATATCTTTAGATTATATCGTTTTAATCTTACTTCAATGTATCGCCTGTACGAGCTTGATAAGCAGTAACAGCGGTAGGTCTTGGTTGTCCAGCACCAAAATCGATGACAGCACGAATAATGCCATGTGTTCCATTTACAGTTCGCGTCCATTTCATTGATGGTAAAATTTCTTTCTGAATCAGTGTTAATAAATAATAAATGAAAAATGATTATTTATATATACATACGTCAGCAATACTTAAATAGAAACTTATCAAACTATCTTCATAACCTGCGATATTGTGACCCGTATTAGATACTCTTCTATTCATAAAAGCATATTATATATATATATATATATATATTTTAGTTTTGTTACCTTAAATAAGATCCACCAGTAGCTTTTTGTAAATCATTCCAGAAGAAATCCTAATAACAGTTATCATTTTAGTTTTCATTAAAAAGAATCATATAACAATTGTAATCTTACTTCACAATCAGGTAGAAAAAACTCATCACCAGCACCTTGTAATTGAAAGATTTTTGTTTTGGTGTATCGATCAAAATAAGCTAGATAAAGAGAATTCAAAAATAAATCGCACAGATCCTAAAAGAATTATACAATATGGATCAACCATTTGTGCTAATTTATCAAAATTAGGATTATTCATATAACGAGTAATATTCATAGCATAATAGTCATTGAAAGCAAATGTCCATCCACCAAGAGACTATAAAATAACCATTGATAAATTCTTTTTATTATAGAAATCATACTCGATAATGTGATATCATGTTCTATAAACAAAGCAAAGATTTATTTATTTATTTATATTCTGAATCTTCTATTTACTGGTCGAAGATTTAATAAATCCATTACAATAGGTATTGCTGCAACAACTCGTTTATTATCAACTGCAGCAGCTGTCCATGCTAGAATTTGAAGGAAAATATTAGGTAATTATATTATTGTATATGAACCTGTCCATCCACGCTATAATATAATATAATCAAAGTTTAAAACAGGTTATAATATAAAATACAATATTTACTTTTGAAGCACCACCAATAACAAATTCTTGTGGTACAACAAGGCGCTCTTGTTCTAAGAATTGTTGAACAGTATCCATTGCTCGTACAACTGCCTAACATATATGAACATAACAAATAATTAGTGTACTTATCTATCGAATGTAAGTGATATTAACCTTGGTCATCGGAAAGCGTAATAGCACTCTAGGATCACTTCCATTTGTATCCATAAACTTCTTCCATGTCCAAGCAATTAGCGAATCTTCATTTCGAAAAGAATTTGTTGGATCACTCTATGAAAATGATAATATAATAAATTTATATTTGATGTATTAACGAGAACAAAAAATACTGTGACATACCAAAAATCGAATATTTTGATTAGGAATCTGTCGAACACTAGCTGTGATACTACCTGAAATAACAGCAAGTTCCGTTGTAATATCACCAGTAGGTGGTCTAAATAGTAGAAAAATGTAAAAAATTAATTTAATATATTAATTTTCAATCTGCATAGTTTATAAAACATCAATTCATGTTTTCTGATGAAATAAATTACTCTTATGTTATGTAAATTATCTTTTCAGCATTGTCTGCACAGTGCGATGGTAACTTACGAATCATTATTTGATCCTCCATCAATCATTAGGAAAGCTGTTTTTGAACGACGAATTGCTTTTGGAACTGTAATGGTTACATAATGCCACCATATTGGTTGTGTAGAAAACGAATCTATGAAAATCACAAAAAATGATATTATATTTTACAAAATATAGTTTTACCGTCCAACCATTGTTGAGACGTCATATTTAATACATAAAACGTATACAGTGATTGTGGATAAGTTTGAATACGTTTCCAACTAAATACTGGATCAGGAGTATTCACATACTCATCAAGAGGAGTTGCCTGAGTTTTCTTCAGGACAAAAATAAAAACAAACACAAGATAGGTACCCAATCGTTTCGTCATAGCTAATGTGAATGTATATGTTGTACACGGCTGTTTTTATTCCTTAAAATTTAATACCTTGAAATTTTTCAAAAAACAAAGGCTTATGTTATTAATGTATCTGCTTTTGCGAACATATCATATACGTTGATTTGAAAACTGAAAAAATTGATATTTGATCTTTGAATTGAGTTTGTTTTTACGTACTAGTACTTTCAGAAAAGGACTAACTTCACACATTTTTGAAAGACAACAAACGAATTAACTTTAAAATAGAAATATTCACTATAGTCAATATTTTATTCGTTGTTTTAGTGTCAAATATCGTTTATAATAAAATGGTCGTTTCACAAATATCTTATTTTTATTATGTTCTTATGAAAAAAGGTTACAATGCAAATTAGATATAAATCAATATCAATAAAATGAAGTCTTTATTCGTATTAGTCCTTTGAGTACCGGTGGATCCCACTTATTTTCCTGTGAAGAAAAAATCATTCTTCACATTAAACTATTAAACATGCAAGTCAATCACAGTCATAAGCAACTGCATTTGTCATCTCATACATTTGTTTTCAGTAGTCCTTTGTTCTTACTGCTAAGATACAGTGTCTCTCCTGATCTCTTGTTTTTTGAGAATATTCTAATTCTCTATCGGATTTATGTATATAAATATGTATATGTTGCTCTTGAACTTGTAAAACATATCATTTCGTTATAACATTTTCATAATTAAAACTAAACAAATAGACTTGTATGAAAATGATGAAGTTGATGACAACAGCAAGAGGGTGCGGGTATGATTCTAGGAGAAGATAAAATCTACTGACATCCACACCCTCAAAATAAACTGAATAGTAAAAAGAAACATTTAACATGAGAAAATTTAGAAGTAGAGCGTAGTTTTGTGTTATCATACGAAATTTATTTTTATAAATAGACGAGTATGAAAACACCTTTTTCGCTAGAGATTATATTACTTATCTTTTATAACTTCTCTGCGAGTGATAAACAACACAAAATAATTTCGCACAATAGTTCTTTTTTTTTTAAGTTTAAGTTTCTTATAGAATACAATATGCATACAAACCGGTTTCGCCATGAGTTTGAAACGGTAAACAATGTAACTCGAAAATGGTGGCATCATCGTTCGATCAGAATTATCTGCATCTCTTTCTTCGTTCTAACACTTTTTGCAGTAGCTCTTTCTATGGTCTTGAATGTCGTCGATTTTGCTCCGACGAAGTCAGAAACTACCACCGCAACACCATCATCACCATCGACAACAATACCACCACTAGCAACATCGACATTGCCACAAACAACAATAACAGCAACATCAGCAGCGACGGAAAAAATAACTACAACCGGCATACGACAGTCAGGTAAGTTTTAGAGTAATGCCCTTTGAGGATGCGAGTGTGTGAGTGATAAATGTGATATTCTCATGCCTACACCCACACCTTCACAATAGCTGAGATAATGTGTTCTTATTGAGAATGTCTATTCAAGAGAAAATGCTAATCTTCAGTAAAATAGGTATTTTTCATGATAACTTTGGTTAATTTTTCTGAAAACTTCAATAGATGAGGGTGTAAGTATTGTCTTCATCATAAATCACATTTACATTTATACCCATACTTCTTGGTAGAATGAATACATTAAAATACTTTCATATAGGATGGTCTAATACTCGTAGTATGAATAATGCGCGAGTTCAACACAGATCATCCTTATTAACAAATGGAAAAGTATTAATTACTGGTGGATATGATAATGATGATGATTTCAGTGGTACGGAGTTGTATGATCCATTAATAGGTACTTGGACAACGATCGCCAACATGAATATTCCACGATATTCGCACACAGCATCCGTTTTAACAAATGGAAAATTATTAGTTACTGGTGGAGAATACAGTGGTCAGGATCCTTCAGATAGCACCGAGTTGTATGATCCATTAGCACAAAATTGGACAACTACTGGTAAAATGAATTATGTTCGAAATGGACATTCAGCATCTGTATTACCAAATGGAAATGTTTTAGTTACTGGTGGATATGGCGATGGTGATATTTTTAAAACTGCGGAGTTATATAATCCATTAACACAAATATGGACAAGTACTGGTAACATGAATCAAGCACGAGCTTATCACACAGCATCCGTATTAGCAAATGGAAATGTGTTAGTAAATGGTGGCGAAGAGGAAATCTATACTGCTTTAGATATTGCTGAGTTGTACAATCCTTTAACTGAGATCTGGACAACTACTAGTAACCTTAATAATGGACGTTATAAGCATTCGGCATGCTTATTAACAGATGGAAAAGTTTTAGTTACTGGTGGATATGCTAGTAGTGGTGCTCTTAATAGTTCTGAGTTATATGATCCATCGACAGGGACTTGGACAACTACTGGTAGCATGAATAATGCTCGAGCTGAGCACACATCAACTTTATTAGCAGATGGAAAAGTATTAGTGACTGGTGGAAATGCTATGCATGGTTTTCTTAATAGTACTGAATTATATGATCCATCTACAGGAACTTGGACCACTGCGGGTATCATGAATAAAACACGAGTGTGGCATGCAGCATCTTTATTAGCCAATGGAAAAGTATTAGTCACTGGTGGAGAAGATTTTTCTTATATAATAACTAATACTGCAGAATTATATCAATCATCGTTTCAAACAAATTAACATTCTAAACGACTTTTAACCTTTAATACTATTACACTGGTATCTAAACATTATCCTTCAAACACAACTGTTTCATTCTAATAACAATAAATCGTTTTTATATAAGCATCTTTTGCTAAATTTAACACTAAGAAATTAATTGATAACAGCAAAGTGTTCGTCTTTGCAGCTTTGATAGTCAATTAAACTGTTGCAAAACTCTAATTGACTATGAACAAATTAGCCACGATGTATGCTCTTATCAAGTGCTAATATTAGCGAAGATTCACTTTTTATTTTCCCTCATAAAGGAACAAATTTCTCAGTTCAGAGTATATGTTGCATACTGATATCAAAATATCAAAATATTGGCGTTACAGACGATATCAGATGATGTGAAGTTTAACGGCTCAGCCGAGATCAGAGCTTGAGATAAGAAAGGTGTGGATGTGGGTGCTAAGTGAATACAGTATCCACACTCATCCACCCACAGCAACGCCCACATCCCTCTTGAAAATGCAAAACGTATAATTTCGTTATAGCATATTTATAATTAAAACTGAACAAATAGAATTCTATGAAAATGATGAAGTCGATGACAAGTCCTGTGATTCATAGACCAGCGATGACAGTAGTAGGAATGATTTTAATTTTGATTATAATGAACTGGTCGCTGACATAGTTGGACTGAATTCAGTGGAAAAAAATTCGGGCTTCAAGACGTTAAAGATAGGATTTATCATAACATATGTACATATATGTATATACTATCATAAATTATTTGATGAAGTAAACAACAACGTTGTTAGTTAGTTTATGAAGACAACATAAAATAGATTTAACTCTGATAGTAAAGCTGAAATACATGTATACATATTTAATAAAAATATACACAATCAATTGTCTCTGCAGTTTATATGATTGAATATTCGAATTAGACAAGTATTCCAAGACATTCGTCACCGACACAGTCATTTAATGGATATGTGTGTGGTACAATCAGTGTTTTCGGTTATGAATCTGAGCCTGAAAGCACATGGTGTCATTTCACCTTCAACATGCAATCAATGTTATGATTACTTGTTTTTCTCCGATTCTTGTCAAAAAATATTTCAGGTTTTCTTTTAGTCATTTTTTTCTTCAGTAAAAATACGTTTTTATCACTTTAATTTACTACTGCAGCGCCATGTGCGTTCAATCTTCTTTATTAGAAGCTGCTATATTGTTCGAGACTAGTTAGAGGAATGTTGAGAACAAGTTTCTAACCGTACATGCGTCAATATTCCTCCACAGTAATGATAGGAAGAAAGGCTTGCTTCTTATTGTGCAATGATCATTGTACAGCATGACTCATAGCAAAGAACGAACGAGTTTCATCATTACTATTGACTATTACGACACTCTTCTTTTGCATCACATTTATATAAACAATGTGGCGATTCAAATTATGTTGTGTATTTCTAGTAGAAAATCCGTATGACAACGAAGCCTGAACGATGCAAGTATCGAAAAAACAAGTCATTATGTCGATCACATTTACATTCAGGTATGATAACTCTACCAAC